TAATGATGTTGAAATATATTGTAGGAAACCATTACGGTTTGAAGAAAGCAATTTCACGGTGAAGATATGAAGCATCCGTTCAACGCAAAAGTAGGCACATACTATGTATGCAATAACAGTGAATTCAAGAACGTTTCAGTTTCTCTAAGAAAATCAAAACATCTCTCTTCGTGGGTGCGCAGCGTCATAACTTATCTTCTTATGGGAGACCTTAGCGCTTAAACAGACAAAAAAACGGATTACGGCGTTTAGAACTGAAATATGTACAGTAGAACCCACCGTTAGTATATCTAAAAATTTAAGTGAATGGTGTCTCGACCATGAAACGCTTGTGTACGGATAGAAAACGGAAATTCAAGTCGAATCTACCATGATCTCTTAATCGATCGGTAAACCCTCCTAAAAACAAAGTCAAGTTAATTGCTAGTGCAGATCATAGCTAATGGAAAATCACGTAATGGAGCACTACGGAATTCCTATGATATCTGTTCAAGCATTTTCCATGGTATGATGCTTCCATTTCATACATACTAAGTTTTTTTCTAACTGTCCAACCAAGATTGGAAGCTAACAACTGTGAAAATACATTGTTTGTTTCATTAGAGCCACAAATGATACTTCTAAACAGTGTAAATCCCTATTTGTGTTAAAATAAATTCCATTTCTTAACAATTCTCAAATAGAAGATTAAATAATTTTTCAAAGATTTAAAGGTGATACTATAAAAGGTGATACTATATGATTATTTTTGACTGTTGACAAAGAAATTAAAATTTAATATAGATCAAATAAAAAACCCTTTGAAGGTCCATTGCAACAGTTTCCAGTTCATACACATATACAAAGACTGTTTTATTTCCAATCCAACAAAAGCTGCCATAAGCAGGCATTGAACGATAAAAATCTATGATAATACAAATAGGGATTTTAGGGCAAAAGGGTAATTTATTTAGATCTTGTGAGTATAGTTGTCAGTTGGGTAACATCTACTTGCCAGTGCATTGCCTTACCTCAACTTTTAATTTCTTTTTTTTTTTTTCTATCGAAGAAATAAAAAATGTTTCAACTTAGGAGGGAGAGGCCACTCCTACACGGTGGATGTGGTGACCATGCCCACCACGTCAACCTTATTAAAAATATGAAATATGAATCAAAATGAAATCAACTGTCTCTCATTCATTTTATAAATGTAAATTTGCAGCAGATTAATTCAGCCATAACTGCAAATGATAACTTTTTACCAAGCCTGAGGGCCATACAAGAGAACATTTTTCCTGAGTTCCTTACAAAAACAGCGGATGGCCAATATTCCTCAGTAGAATTTGAGCAAGAAAAGTTAGCAAGTGATTCATTACATTGCAGTTAGACTAAACTTTTTAGTTTTAAATTTGGTGCCTTTCAAAACAAAAATACATGGATTATGATCGTTTCGCAGGAAACGGTCTGCATGGAAAAGTGCAGAACAATTAAGAACCAGATCAGTGCTGGTAATTAATTTGCGGATTTCAGCCACAACGTTAAAGTTGCTAAAAAACCTTCTAAAAGACTTCAGTTAATATGCATTGGCGATACGCATGTTTTGA